CCTCCCCAAAATGAGAAGACCTCCAACCAACCTTATAATGAAGCCTGCTCTTAAAATTTGCTTTCATTTGGGATTTCAGAAAAAGTCCTCAAAAAAAAGTCCACAAATTTTCCTGGTTATTTAAGCAGTAATTCACAGCCTCACGTAAAAGGCGTATTTACACCCTACTGCCAGACAGTCAGAAAACAACGTGAATTAAAGACCCATCTACAAAGATGAATATTTAGGAGGAGACGGTGAATGTGGCATATCTAAGCAGCAACTCAATGTGTGTAATGCAATATATCTGCCCCAAAACAACACCTCAGCCTTGTTTTAACGAAGGGGTTTTGCAGCGCGGGTGCCTTTGTTGGGGACCACACGTCACTAACGCTGCCCGATGCGGCCGCCCTGGCAGAAATCGGCATTTCTGCATTTGTCCTCCAAATCTGGGCAGATCTGGCTGATTTAAGGCCATGGTCTTTGCTATGGGCGCACAGTATCAGATGGGTTCACAGGTGGATGTACCCCCGAAAGAAAAGGCAAACACCTCCTATGGATTTTTATAAAAGTGTCTCAAAAGACGCTTTCCACACAAAACCTTCGGCCGCTTCCACCTTTCTCTCCCCAGTGCCCAAAGGGACTGTTTCAAAGCGGGGAGAAATTCCAGAATCCCACAATTCTTCACCTACTTTTTAATAAGGAAATTGTAGGAAAGGAAGGCAGTAGTATCAGACTGGAAGAAAATCTTGCTAGTCCAACTTCACCTCCGCTGCTTTTTCACTTGATTTGGGGCTTTATATCATATTTGTTGCTATTTAAATTTTTTTTTTTTTTTTTTTTTTTTTAGCATCTGTTTTAAGACATCCTTAATTTTACAGCCTTTGAGAATCAGATGCCTGTTCAAAATAAGAAGCTCCCTTCAGGATAACCAACTGAGCCAAGACTTCTCCCTCATCAGAAGAGCACAGTGGCGGCGGGATCGGGTCCAATTTCCTTCGGTAAATACCACCAGATAAACATATATCTCTTTCTACAGGTTTACCTTCTTTTCTCCAAACCAATGGAAATAAATATAGAGAAAACAAAATCTATGCTGTCCTCTTAAATTAAAAAACAGTGTTGTTATAGGAATAAAGCTGTGCATGTGTATATAGGTGCAGAGAAGAAAATCATTTTATCCTTGCTTAATAACACCTTAGATTGAGTACCATGATCCATAACTTTAAATATTATCATTTCACAAAAAAAAAGTAAATATATCCTATATTCTACCATACCCGTTCTATATAATATTTCATATTTATGGGGGGTAATAGGGGATGAAGCATAATCATCAGTAAAGGTATGGTATTGCCAACAATGACAATGTAGCCCCATCAATCATATTTTTAATATTGTTGCATTATATCTCATTTAAAACGTTCTCTTTAGGGTCTCCCTGGGTAAAAAGCAATTGTGTATTTGAGTGAGCTCGTGCATTTCCATGCCCAGGTTTGATGGATTTTGTCCCCAAACCCAACGGGGCCAGGATGGGGCCCCTCCGACCTCGCCATCCCAAGAGACAAGGGCGAAAAGGGGCAGGATGAGACAGACGGGTGACAATTAAATTAGGCTTTGCAGAAGGACAGTTTGCAACCCATGGAGGGAACAAAGCCCCAGGCCAAGGCGAGTGCTTCCAAACTGGATCTTGATGACTCTCTTGGAATGACCCGCGGAAAGCAGTGACACACCAGACCTGCGGACAGGCCTCAATTATACAACATTCACTTCTCATTTTGGGAAAAGAGGGCTGCAAAAGTGTGTGTTTGCCCTAATAGTGCTTTGTGCACCCGGGAAACAGGAGCATCCCTGGTGTCCTTTCTGGAGCCTACACCCCGTGAGCGCACGTGCAAAATGCACCTCCATCCTCCAACATCATCGCACCGAGAGCAACCAGAGCAGAGGTGCCCCAGGCCACCTGGAGATGCATTTGGGACATTTCCCCATCTGTTTGCTCCAGGATGCAGATCCCTTTCCCTTAGGTGTATGGGGAATGGTACGGGGGCTGCTCCAAGGGTAGACGGATGTTAAAAATGCCGATGAATCACCGGGAACGGCAGCCTGGGGATGCAACAGGGCAAATCTTTTAGCATCCCTATGGGAAACCTTCAGATCTGGCTCAAAATCTCTCTTCCCCCGCCGCGATGCATCACTAGAGAAAACATTTTCCTACGGAGCCTGCCCAGCACTTTGATCCAAGCGCCTTTGCAGGGGGTCGCAAGTGGCGACGGGCTCGAGCTTGGGGGCAAATCCCCCCTCCCGAGCCCGGCGGCATTCCCACCGTCTCCCACCTGGGAAGGAAGTTGGGACGCGTCGCCTGCGCGCGGATTTTGGGGACGGAGGCAGGTTTTGGGGAATGGCAGGGAGGGCTCCCGGCGGGAGCCTTGATGGAGCGGCTCCTCTCCTGCCTCATTAGCCCCGGGGTTCGTTAGGAGGCTGCCCGAGCCTCGCGGCAAGTTCACGGCCTCCGTATGGAATCACGCCCCCCCCCAGCCTTTTACTTTGGAAAAAAAAGCCCAAATGAGGCATTTTGAATGGGAGGAAGCTTTTCAAGCAGGCCTGCATGATTTACACATCCGTCTTCCCTATATTTTTACACCACAAAGCTAAATCTGGCAATTTTTACCCAGGCCAAAATTCCCATAATTTGGATGATAAGCAAAAAATATATATTTTAGTCTTATTTGCTAATCACTTCTGGGTACAGATTTCCTCAGCTTCGTTCCCCGGCACATATTTTTGGTGCAAAATAAATGCCATCCATGATTGCCAAGACTACAGATCTTTGTCTATCCACCTGCCCAGACCTCACCTTTATTATTTAAACATAATATTTTTAGTATTGCAATGGTCCTAATGACGCTCCAGAATTAGCACTTTAAGAAGGTGGGAGTGTGTCCAGGAGGAAAAAACACTCAAAGAAGATGAAAATCCTGCAAGAGCCCTAGGATCTCGATTTACTTTAACCTCATAGGAGAGGCTGTTTCTACTCATAGATTCTTCATCACAAAGATATAAAAATATCTTTTTTTTTTTTGACCCAAGTCCCACTGATAAAATTTGGGAGGGAAAGGAGAATGGGGCAGCTTTGGGCCCTAAATACTTCATGGGGAGCTGCCTTTAAAAAAAAAAAATCCCCATTAATATTTTAGTATTAAATAGTGCCACTTTCAGCTGGTTTCTGTTTAAAGCAACCCTTTTTTTTTTCTACTAAGAGCACTTTTTAATTAAAACCCTGGTGTTGTCTCCACATTCAGGGTGGAAATGAGATCCCCCAAAATAAAACCCGCGGCGCTGCGAGCAGGCGGGATGCAACCCCTCGAATCCAGCCACAGAATCGGGATCTAGTTTTAGAAAAGGTCCCAACCAGCAGCAAAAAAACAGTTGCTAAATTGGCTGAATGCATCCGATCTACCTGCTGCTATAAAAGACCCCAAGAGAGGAAGGAACTTTGGGACCAAAGCCGCAATCTGAGAGAACTCAGTGCAAAACTGAGCTTAACGCAGAGCCTGAAACACCAAAATCCCTGTGTAAAACAGCCTAGGCCTTAAAAGCCGACGGATATTTCTGTAGATGAAATTCTTCGTTTGCAATATTTTATTTTCAAGCACTTTTGTTATTAAAAGCCTACTTGATATCCTAGCAAAATGACTATATTTTTATGTATTTTTCCCCAAGGAAAAGATTATTCATCAACCAAATCCAAAATCATGATCATCCTTCTCAACAATATCCAATAACTACTGTTTTTTCTACATGTTCTGCCTTTGCAATGCTTCTCCAAAACATCGCCTGGTGGTCCCAAGCTTGTTTCTTAAAGTCAGCCTCTGCCCCATTTTAAGGAAATCCTAAAGCCTATAGAAAACCAAAGGGCACAGTGAGGACCAAGTTTTTACAAATACCTGACTTTCATTTCTGTAACTTGGTTAAATAATGATAAAGGTAAAGAGAAAAGAAGGAAAAAAAAATACATGCCAAAATGCAAGTTAAAAACTGGCATCTTAAAATACATTTGCTGATAAATCAGAGTAATTTTCTTCTTGGCGTTTTTAATTTTTTCACTCCGACCCTAAAACAAGTACGAATACATCCATAGAAAGAGCGTGTGGAGCAAAAAAAACATTTGAGAAACTGCAAATTGACACATTTCTCTCCCTCACAACACCTCTATTCACCCCACTTTTTCCTTTCCCCTCTGTACAAAATACAGAGCAACATTTTAACCCTTTGGGGCCAGTTTTTGGGGTGGAGAAGCAGAAGAACTTAATTAAATCAGTGCGTCGGCTCTGAGAGCTGGAGCAGCACGACAACCTTTGCGCTTGAGATTTGGGGCAGGGAGATGTGAAAATTCAAGATCTGCTTATTCAAACTCCTCAAACACTTGTGAGTCCCCCCAAAAAGTCAAAATTGGGCCAGTTGTCCCGTGCAAGACATTGCGATAAATAAGAATCCATTTATTTTTTGCCTTCTCTACTGTCTTCCCCATTTCCTTTTGCTTTCCTGTCCCTACCCTGTTTCGCCTGACCAATCTTTCCAAAAATAAAAGGGCAAAAGGGACATAAAAGAACCCAAACAGAAGTCCACAGGACAGACTTCCCTTGTGCTTTGGGCTACTTTTGAGCCCTTTTTGTCCCTCGAGCAACTCTGGGAAGCGGCAAACTACGGAGCATCGTCCTTAAACACGCTGTGGTCATTCCCGTTGTGGTCCGTAAATGTAGGAGCTATTTCCCTGGCTGGCTCCCATCTGGAGCAGGGCCTTACACAAGCATTTAGCGCAAGATTTTTAGCTATCCAATTTTGAAATTGGGGCATTTTTGATGGAAACGACCCCAGCGCAGCTCCATGGGCCTAGAAGAGCGTGCAGGGAGTGCATGGTGAGGACCCCGAGCACGGGTCTCGCAGAAACAGACCCATCCTCACCCAATCCCAGCTTAACCGAGAAAAAGGGGTCTCCACAAGACCCGCTGGCCAACACTCACCGATGTTGGCGTGCCTGGCGGCGCCGGGCGTCCCTCTGCTCTGCAGGTTGTGCAGCATGGGGCTGTCGAAGGGCGAGGAAGTCCAGGTGGTGGCCATTTCGGGGCTCACGTACGCCGGGTACGGGCCGGAGTAGGAGGTGCCGAAGCCCCGGCCGTACTGCTCCCTCCCGTTAGCAGAGAGGCTCAGGGAGCTGCTGTAAGCGGCCGCGGCCTCGCGCGATGAGGTGGCCGGGATGGGGGTGCTGGTGGAGAAGGAGAAGCGAGGTGACACGGGCGGGTGGGAAGATCCCGCGTTGTAAGCGGCGCTCTCGGCTCCCGGCTGAGTCCAGATGGAGTGGCTGGAGACGGGGCTGCCTTGCTGCGACGAGCCGCCGCTCTGGAGGTAAGGCAGGCTGGGCAGCATCGAGGTGACCCTCGTGGTGGGCACGTAGACGGGCGACGCTGCAGCCGCGCTGTGCATGAAGCCACCTGCGCCCTCGTAGGCCGGCGGGCCCGGATTAGCGGCCATGGCTAAGCTCTGGTACATCTCGCGACGGACCCCCCCAAAACCTCCAGCCAGAGCCCCGGGCACGATCCAAGCCGGGCTCCGCTTTGGGTGGCAACCCCGGGGAAGAGGCGACTTTTTTTAGTTGTTGTTTTTATCCTTTTCTTTCTTTTTTTTTTTTTTTTTCCTCCACCACCCTCCCCTATCCCTGCCGCCCTCCTTCCCCACCTTCAGCGTCTCCGGCCACGCAAGAAGTCCGCGGTCCCTTCGCAGGAGATAACCAAAAAAAAAAAAAAAAAAAGGGGGAAAAAAAAGAAAAAACACAAGTTTTAGCTCCCGCCTTGAATCAGCTTCTCCCAGCGGGCTCCATCCGTCGGCGGCTCCCCCCCCTCCCGCCCCCCACCTCGAGTGGGGCTGGGCTGCTTAAAAACCTCGGCCAGTCTCCTCCCCTCCTCCTGCCCTATCCCTTCCCCCCCCCCCTTTTTTTTTCCAACCCCCCCCTCTGTCCAACAGCACCTCCCGGGGAGGCGGAAAGGGGGGAGATGCTGCTGGGGATGCAGGGGCTGGGAGCGCAGCTCGGGACGAGGGAGATAAGGAGGTTAGAGCAGGGCTGGAGGGGCGGGGAGGTGTCGGGCCTTTTTTTGGGGGAAGGAGGGGAAGGTCGGCGAAGGTGCGAGACACCGAGGCTCTGTTCGCCTCGGGCCCCCGAGCCAAACCTTTGTCCCGCAGGTAGGGCCGGTCCTTTAAGTTGCTAATGGGCCCCGAGGTCGCCTTTTGATCTGGGCGGGCGTCGGGGCCGCTTCGGAGGCGACCCGGAGTCTGAAGCTGCGGGCTGGCGGGGGGGCGGTTTGGAAAGGAGAAAGGGGAGAAATTAAATTAAGCGCACAATGAGAGGGGAGGAGGAGGAGGAAGGCCCGGCCCCGCACACGCCTCACGCGTGTCGACACGCGGAGGGGAGATCGCAGCCCTGCTGAAGGCAGAGCGTGTCAGGAGCAAAACATCCCCTCGGGTTTTTCCCCCGTCCTGGGTGTTTTTTTAACAGCCCTTGATGTCACGGTGCGGATAATAAACTTGGAAAGGGTGAACGTGCCGTGGGCTGGGGAAGCGGGCAGGGTTTCTGCAGCACTGGGTGCCCGCGATGGTGCTTCTCGGGCTCCTGCTCTGGGCTCCTGCGGTGGTGTCAGCTCCAGGCCTCGGTTTGGAGGTGTTTGGGACTTTTTAAAGCATTTTGCAGCCCACTGCGGCCTGCGAGACGAGGAGACCCCTGAAAATGCTTGTTGGGAGGTCTGGGAGGGAAATATCCCACCCGGGGAAGGATAAAATAATCCAAAGTGCTGTTTTCTCTGTAAATCCTTGGGAGATCYTAGAAAACAGCCTCAGATATGGGAGAAGTTGGACACGGCCGGGGRAATTACAACCGGCAAAATAACTCCCGGGACCGATTTTGATTTGACCAGCAGATTCCCCAGGCCGGGCTGAATTTAGCAGCCGCAGAGATAAGGGACAGATAAGGGTTGATCCCCAGAGGGGGCAGCGGGAGCCCGGCAGGCGGCCCAGGGAAGGGGGAAGCCGGAGGCAGAGTCCCGGATCCATGGGATAAGGGTGGGAAGGGGCCGAGAAGCAGAAGGGGGGTGCGGGGATACCTGCTCCCCGCACCGGGAAGCCCCAGGGATTCGGGAAGGCACCGGCGTGCGTGGACAGCCCAGGACGGAGCCTTCCCATGAGATTCTCCCAAAAGGAGCGGGTGGAAAGAGAGGAGGGTGAGTGGATTCTGTCCTCCTGTCGGTGAGCACCCTAAAAATCGCAGTTATACGTACATATATATATGTATGATATATATTTACATATGTATATATATGTTAAAGGTTAGGATATAAAAGGATTATATATATATATAAAAGAATATATAAAAGGATAGGATATGTAGGATTTCCCTATAAAGGGAAATCGACACAGTTTTTAGGACAGGAAATACACATATATATATATATGTATAGAAAAGGCTCTAAACGGAAATGGAGGCAGTTTTCAAGACGGGGCAACTTTCGGGAAGGGGCTCACTGGGGGCCCCGGGCGGGAGGAGAGCGGCAGGGAAGCGCTACCCACCTTGGGTGCTGGGGGAGACAGGGGGGGACAGCCCTGGGCTCCCTCCTGCTCCTGCTCCGTGCAGGGGGGAGCGCAGGGGGCAACGGGGCTCCCCCCTGCAGCTCCCCGGTGCGACCAGGCTCCCCAGTCCCACTCGCTGACTGGTTTGCCCACGTCACGTGGAAGTGGGCGGCGGTGGGACGAGAAGCGACGGGGGGGGCGACACGCAAACACACGCGCTAGTGTCTGTTGCACCGTCAGCCGGGCGCCGGGTTTCATTTTCAGGCAGGAAAATAATAATAATGGGTAATTAAATAAATTAATGAGTAGAATTAAGGCAGCATGCGGTGCGCGGGCACGCGGCCACGCTGCAGGCAAAGTCCAGCCGAGCGACCCTGCTCCGCACCTCTTCCGCGCACAACTGAAGGGACACCCGTGCCCATGCAAATTAAAGAAAATAAAATGAAAAACAGAAAAGGTGTTTGGGGTGTTTTCAGCAGGGGACCAGCCGCTGCCTTTTGGAACCCGCCCCCCTTTCCTGGGGAGATGGCAAAATCTGCAAATCCAGGAGAGATCCCAGCCGCTCCCTCTCTCCTTTGGACCCACCTTTTTAGGGGTGCTGCTTCTCACCTCCCGAGGAAGGCACCCATGTCTTGGCCTTTATCACACGGTCCAAAAGGCCACKGGGTCTAAAGGTTCATAGAGTCATGCAGAAAGAGACCCCGCTTTGCAGGGACCAGTACCTCGCTGCTGGGGGGTCCTTGACGGGTCCCCTACTGGGACAAAGCCCCCCAGCTTCAATGTGTCTCTGCCCCCAAATTCCCCTTTCCCCTTCTCCCAGGTTGGGGGTCACATTTCGCTCCGGGGTGACTTCAAATTCTCCTTCTCTGAGGATTTGCGAAGCCGGGGAGATTCCCAAGGACCTGTCCTGCAGCCTCCCTTTTACCCACCCCCCAGGATTAATGCTCATTAATAGCGCTAATGATAAGGTTAATAACGTTAACTCTCCCCTTCTCCTCGGGCTTGGGCACGTCCTGGATCTTACCCATCCCTCGGGTTTGCTCCAGGGTGCCCGGAGATCTGGGGGTTCGACCTGGATTAGAGAGGGAAGGCGCGGGACGGGGACAAGGAAGAGTGGCTGCAGCGGGTTTCCAGCTCCGAAAGGAAAATCCCCAAGGAAATTAGAAATATCTGGACGACGGTGTTATTTTTTTCTTTTCTTTTTCACACCGTTTAAAGTAAGCGGCAAAAGGGAAAATACAATAATAGTAATAGTAATAGTAATAGTAATTATAATAATAGATTTATTGAGGGAGAATGAGCCTGAGTTCGGCGCTGCAGCTGCTCAGTGGGAGCCGTTTCTCGTAAGGACACGGGCTTGTCCCGTCCTCGTCCCCCGCAGCCTTTTCCCCCTTTCCAGCTGATATTTCGGGAGCACCCAGGGATAAGTAGCGAGTTTGTAAGCGGAAGCCCCAGTCAAAGGGATCCTGACCTTGCTGGTGCTTAAATAAATAAATAAATAAATAAATAAATAAAAATACTCAAAATAAATCAGGGCAACTATACTGTAGGCATGTATGTAGCTATAGCTATAATATGCAGCTACTGGCACGAGCGTGCACATTTAGGCACGGGTACACATATGGGCACATAAATAATATAACTCCCATATATAAATATAAGCAATGGSAGAACTGTATGTGTGGTATCTGTACTTTAAACACACGTTGTGCGTAATCTGAATGTAATTGCATTACAGGTACGTAAATAGTTATTAATATACAAATATAAATATTGCCTGTAGACAGGATATAACGCATAGTAGACATATATATGCATATTATGTATATGCATATATGTTTATATGTGCCCTATATATAAATATRCAGTGTAATTTGTAACGCTTTATGTGTGCTATAAATACACATGTTAATACAGGGCTATCGACATGCAGGGAAGGAAGAAAGAGTTAAAGAAATCGTTGTCTTTTCTTTTTCTTTCTTCTTCCTTTTATTTTTTTTCCAGCAGCTGTGTATCCAGATGCGCCACATTTCCAGAGGACAAACATATTGTTCCTCGCTTCTTTCAAAAAACTCTGGCCATTCTTTTCTCTGCCAAATAACTTAGTTTTTTTTTTTTTTTTTTTCAGAAGTTTGTTGAATTGCGACCGAAAATCAGCGCTTTCTCAAAAATAAAAAGCAGGGAAAATTCAAACATTTAATTAAATCCGTTTTCAAAAAGCCCACGCAGCCTCTGTCTTCGCTGTCGTTACCAGGAGAAAATTTCAAGGACTTGCCTTGATCGCGCAGCTTCTTTTTTGGCGGCCGCGAGGATTCCAGGAATAATCACCAAATTCCCGCGGCAGGTTTGGTGGCCGGGGGCCGAATCCAGTCGCTTTCGGCGGGGAAATGCGGCTCCCGACGGCAAACCCGGGCCRTGGAGCCCGGACAAGAGCCCCGCCGTGGTGCGGATTGACAGACGGGAGGGAACCGATGTATTTCGGACACGTTTCTTTTTGTTGGTGGTGCTTTTTTATCTTTATTTCGTGCGGGAAAAAAAAAAGCAGAAAATGAAACAGAGTTCAGCAGGGAGATAACAATACCGTCTCAAAAACAAACAAATAAAAAATCCAAATCAAAACCAAAAAAAAATAAAAGAAACCAATACTTTCCGCTTGGAGAATCTCTTTCCCGCGATTCCCAAATGTGCTTTCCTGAAACTCAAACTGGCCAACGAAATCAAGTTTAATATCGCACTGTGAAACAAATTTCATCCTTTCCGCTCTGCTTTCCAGTTCTCCCTCGCCCCGCACCACTAGGAAGAAAATAAATCGATACGATGCTTTTTATTCATTTATTTATGTTTATCGTGCATCGAAATTAGTTACTAAATTGATTTAGGGTTAAATTTAGAAGAAGGTGCGCCCGCGAGTGGCAGGGAATAAGAAAACAAATCTGAGGAACTGGRGGTGGAAGAAAAGCCATAGAAATAAGCATATTTACATGTTTCTCCACAAAACTGTACTGAGAATCTGAGAATTGAAAGAAAACAACAGAAAAGGAAAGAAAGAAAAGGAAAGGAAA